GGTACCAGAACTCCATTACGCTTACTCCGAAAGTGCGCTGGCACATTGGGCTCGTGATTTAAAAATTTCGTCGCTACATGTGGACTCGTTGATCGAAGTGTTAGGTTATTATTACTTTTGAAGACGGTAATGTCTCTTGGCCACAAGCTAATTTGCGGTGTAAGATACATTAATAGCCCAAGTGTAGTTATTAAAGGAGTTACACAATCAGAAAGTGCGCCTTCGAAATTCAGCAGATACGATCTGCATCAACTGTCACAAGTAAATGTGTAGAAAGGTTTTTTCTTTTGTACAAGTAAAAGTGACACAAATGCTTTGGAGCTGATAAGCAAAATATAACACTTCGGTCGATTCGCGATGATTTAGGCATGGCCGGCTGTTCGGCAAAATGTAGATGCATCATATATTCAATTAATCATAGTGACAGCCGCGGGACCATACCGCCAAAATGAAAGCAACAAATATAAAATTTGCTTGAATGTAACATGTATACTGCTGTAAAACGCATTGTGGGAAGAACATCACTAGGGTGTTGCTAGAACGCGCCACAACCTATATGTTAGACTGTGGAACCGTTCATCCGCTGACATGGCACCAAAGCAGTTTTTTCGCGCTAGATCGTGGTCATCAAATGACTTCAACTGATAATTATTCGATTTTGACATCCTGCGTTGTTCTATATTATATTATACTGCAGGGAGGTGATGATAAACGTCACGACATCAGCGCAAAGACCATTGGTCCGGCACGTTAACGCTCGTGGCTGGGCATCATTTAACATCGGTGTTATTAATCGCTACTCTCTGCGTCCTATCAAATACCTCGGCCTTCGTAGCTCATCGCGAGTAAAATCTCGGAGTGGGTAGGTCTACCAAAATTAGGATAGCATCATCAGAATTAAGTTGGGTATTCCAGATTGAGATTGAAATTCATTTTTTGATTGGCCAAAACAAATTGCCGGTGCATTGACCCACTCGCGACCGGTACGTTTAACATTTCCCTTAGGCAAATGCTATTGCATAAAGACTGCCAGTCTGTAATTTTAATTTGGAATGACAGATGACAGCATGTAATTAATCCATCTTGATAAGCTGTGTGCGGTCAGTTTTAACATATAAATACATACAGCTGGGGTTATTGCGAGAGATTTCATGACCGTCAATTAAAACATAATTATGCACAAGATGCCTGAAAACTTCTAAGCCAGGACAAAAGCTCCGGAACCGGTAGCATGCCGTGGCTGACTCCTAAAGATATCGGCCCGTCTCGAGGTTCGAAAGTAAAGAGGTCGATACAGGTATGCATGATAGCCCCGAAAACAGCTGTGTCAGGACCGCGATGTTCGCGTTTCGCTAACGCGGTAAGATTTCGAATTCCCAGCGCTAAAAACGCACGGCGCTGTGAAGAGCCGTCGACTGCACTCCTGCAAAAACTGCGTCATCCGCTCATTCCATAAGTGGGTCAGACAAACGCTGCTTATAATAAATTAAAAACGCTTCCAACCACGACACCAGCCTCCAAGTCCTCCGAAAGCAGATGCTGGATCCGAAGAACCTGACCGGTATCACCGGTGCTTGACGATTCACACATCCGAAGAAAGTACGCGCTCCCCACGGCCACGCAGCCCGTACTCCTGTCCAATGGCCAATGAGTTTACCCCAGCACGCGCGTGCCCTGGGGCAGTCCCAAAATATGTGAGCTGGCGTTTCTTTGCAACCGTGACACACCGATAACGCCCGGCAACTATTATTCCGCCGGACGACCGGCATGGTGCAGGTAGAGTTGCTTAGTGGCGCTGAGGTTATTGCGAGTTCGCGCCCTGACCGACAGCTTTATGGGCTACGACCATTGGGGATGTTCAAACTTAGGTGAAATAAACCTCACCGCTGAAGGCATGTCAAACATGTGCTGTACAAGGCTACGGCACACATGTTATTGTTTCGGTTGCTGCGTAAGCCTCGGCTACCGACAACTTTACTGTAGATACGAAGCTACAAGTAACAAGCGCACAATACCCTTCAACCCTATCGAAAGGCGGCCTAGTCGCAGCCAGGTAAGCGTTGGCTCGGGTGGAATCTCTCGTAATCGAAAATTCGTTCATGACAGAAGCGAAGCGATGAGTGAACAGCGTTGTCGTCGAGACCGACGAATACTGACTATTTCTGTAAGTCTGTGGCGACCCTTCACTAAATTTTACCTTCGTTCTGGAACGAGCAAGTTAAATTGGACCGCAAACGTGGTGCTGCGCACGCGTGTGCTCCATCCGCTTTGGTAGCCGCCTCAAGAATAGAAATACCTGTGTAATGACATTCAAGAGCACTGTATCTCGCTTTGTGTCTACCTATCGAGGCGAAAGAAAGATTGTTTAGCCGCATGAGTGCAGCGGTCCGTACCGCTACACTGTTCTCCGCTTGGTAGGAACGCCACGAGGAGTGCACAAAAATACGGAATATTGATTAATGAACGTCAACTGGTGGTGCGCCCAGACAAACATTAAAGTTGACGAGCGCATTTCGCATTGAAGACCTATCGGCCTCGAAAGAGGTTTCAAGATAATGAATTAGATAGATACTGAGGAGGCAAATAATGCCTGATAACTTGACTGGCTGAATTCGGGACTTTAGACCACCATTACTTACTCTCGCCTGCTCGTAGGACTCACACATGCCTAGCAAATGGATTTTACTCACTGACAATGAGGTATATTAAATTTACTTGATTCTGATCCTTACCCACAGCGTCGAAACGTGCTGCCAAAATTTGCGTCAACTTCTCCATTCACTGACAACGCACCAGTATCGTCGACATAGGATCTTGACGAACAAATAGATTGCGCCGTACGTTTAAGTGCTGATGTTAATGATCAGCTGACTCACCGATTGTAAGCTAGCGACTAACCAGAGGATTAGAACTTAGCGACTCTCCTGGTTTTTTGCTTAATTTAGTCCCCGACTTTGCGAAGCTGACTAGCTTGGCGATGCCAAAGTACAACAGCACGAAATAAGCTTGCCGTCGAGTGCTTATCACAGAATAGCCAGTATAAACCACAATTGTCCTTGTTTCGAGCCCCACTTAACCTCAACACATGCTCATGAAAACTACTGCGATGTGTCTTATATAAATTCGAAATTGGTTATAGACGGCATGAACAAGGCCAGACAAGAGGCATTTTCTAAGGATCGAGTTAGCAAGTCCGACAGACTGAATAAACATCTTGCTTGCAACAGTCCCTGCCGTGCGGAGGTTTTAACTTTACGCCAGTATTATTGGTCCGTAACAGATGCCGACCATGCATTTAAGCAGCAACAGGAGTGCTTGTCGACAACAAAACGAGACCGCTGGATAAAGGTTGTAAATAGTTTACGAATCCACTGAAGACACATCATCGTGTGCACTCACGAGCACATTGCAGCGTCCGCGACAAGCCGCTGGGACGACAACACAGGCAAGTTGCATACGCCTACCACACGATCAGAGTAGTTTTATCAGGTTACTAGACAGCCTTGGCCACAGCATCGAGAACATCACAACTATAAAATAATGCACGGTCGACCCAACTACGCAGAGAGGTAATACGAAAGTTGTCGACCTCTAACTTATAACCGCTGAAAGTTGGAGTTATTCTAAAAATCCAAGTTTATCTATTGCACCTGTCTTTTAGCCATCTCAAGCCTTCCGACGGGTTCTCCACCTCCGTTTTACGTTGGCACCGATAGACTCTTGTCAGCAACTTTTGTTACGACCGATCATACAACACAGGGCTACACGACGAGGTCATGAATACCCAACATCCTACTTTTAACAGACTGTGAGGAAACGCTGACAGCTGCGTGAAGCGCAGCTTAGAACAGCGACCTCAGACCGGCTCAATATATTTCATCGAGTTGTTGCGCGCGAGTGCAAAGTACGTGGTCGCAGAAAGGAATTCATTGTCCATTAAAGTGCCCGCTAGGCTGCGGCCGTCATGGCGTCCGCCTTGTGGCGCCCAGACAAAATAGTCACTTAAAGGTGCACAAACATGTTGATCATAGTCCGAACCATATCATTTCGCGGTTTTCGAACGTGTTGAGCTCTAACACGGGCTGAATCACGCACTCAGACCAAAGAGCTCTCGGGCGAGATACAAGATACACATGGTCTTACCTCTTGCCAGAGGCCCAAAAGCAAGAATCAGGTTGGTCATAGCGCAGGTGCGGACGACACTTTCCCATCTACGGCGCTCAAGTCAGCCGGTGTGATGGGTTTCGCCTGAATGAGGTACGCGAGTTAGAACAGCGGTCGTAAGTAGTCGTGGGTATAGTAGTTGTATAGTTTTAGTGGAAGCAGAAGTAGTAGTTGCTGTAGTTGTGGATGCTGGATGTTTTGCTTCCGCTCGGTCTGATTTCAGGCCCTATGTGTCGACTATAAGGGCGCCTGATTACCAACCGGGAGATAATGCGTTGTGTGCGGATGCAGCGATGGGAACCAATTCATTTACAAGATTGACGTTTGCAGCGATTGATTCCAGGCTTTTTTTTCGTGCGCACTTTCACAAGTCTATATCGGCTAAAATTACCACTTCGTTGTGCATCTGCAAAGCTTCTACAGCTCGTACTTCGTCAGCCAACAACAGTCAGGATTTCAGCGGCGTCCGGCTAATACTCAGGCTCTACAAGACTTTATCGCATTTACCAGGAATTTGTATGAAATTAAACGAATTGTCCAATTGTCGGCACCTTGTCGACTTTGAGGCAAAAGTACAACAACGACTAATTCCGCGCAGACTAAACTCACAGAATCTGCTGTCGCGCAATTAGCAGCCTGTCTTGGACGTTGAAAAGCCTAAGTGAATGCATTGTGCCGACTGTACGTAGATGCTGGTAGAGGAGCCACACTGAATACGCTTTTAAACTTAACAAGTTGAGTTTGTAAGCCTTAGATTCTACATTAGCCGATCCGTACCCAAGGTCGCATAGCTCAGAACCATCCATTATCCACCCAAACAACGACAGGAGGTTCGCCTAGTTGCCGAGTAGCTGGCGTAGGGCGTCCTGCTCCTCCTTAGTTTCCGCCGCAAGAAGTTGTCGATTGTCAAAGATTTTCAGCAACTCGCCAGTCTTCGTCACCTGCACAATGAGATACGCGTACTCGTCCTTCTTCATGTTCTTGTTCGCTTCGGCGAAGACATAAGCGTGACCCGAAGGTCCCTTAATGTTGTACTTGATGCGAAGACGTGGAGTCCCGTCCTTAGCCGTAAGATTCACGTGCTCAATGCGGTTACGACGACCTTCTCGATGGCCACCGTGGTCGTGGCCATAGCCGTGGATCGGCAGGCCAAGTCGTGAGACAACCTACAAACAAGAGACGGCCGCAACGTTACACGTTTATCTTCAATGCCACTTCATTCCTACTTCAATCCTGTTTTTCTATGCATCGACGTACGTCAGTGTTGTTCGAGACAATGTCCAGTGACTCACTGTAAAGACCGTTAGGGCTCATTCGGCTGCATAACACAACAGCACCAGCAGTAAGTCTCTTTACCACACAAACATTTCAGCAGCAGCGCTGATGCACATACTTAGGCAGCAGTTCACGGGCGACAAAGTAGACGCCGATCGCTCCAAGACCCATTAGACCTAGCCAGAACCCGCCAGTAGCCGTTGCTGTCACCTTCTCATAGGGCGTGAGCACCAGAGCGTCCGGTGCCGTTTGTCCATCCTTTGCGCTCGAATTAGCGGTTGGCTACGGTTTATACGTCCAATTGTCATGACACAATCACAATATTTCGGAACAACCGAATAATTACAATAAAAATGGCATGATGTCACAAACCTTTTCCGCACTCAATCGCGAACGTGTTGACGTCAAGCCACGCGTCGGGACCTTTACTGGGTGGTATACGGCGGCTTGAAGGGAGCGTGGGCGCTGATTAAGCGCAAACTTTTGGGCCACGCGGACGACGGGAGCGAAAGTGGCGCGCAACATCTCGATTTCGATGGGTCAATTGCTTCGATTGCTTGGACATGAAGTGGTGGAAAAAAGAGCGCTGATTGGTGGTTACTATAGGTTAACTATACCGTTTTGTAACATGAGCACAAGTTCATAATTATGGACATTGACGCATATATCAGCACATACACTCCAGCCAAAAGTAAAGTACACCTGATGCTTTCTAAATGTATCTGCGACTATCACAAAACTAAGTACTGCTATTCTAACATCACAGATCTGTAAGTGTATTCAAAAGGTACATGTGTCATCGACCCGTTTTTAGCAGTTCGTAGGAAGTCTTTCATTGAAATCTCGAAAAATGGACGTGGCCAAAAGATTAACCACATTTATCCATATAATTATCAAGATTAAAAACATGAGAAAGACTGCTTTTAGTCACTAACGGGTCTTGTTGTCACGCAGATCGATGACTTTATTGCATCGGATTGGAATCGAATCAACGACGTTGCACAGGGATTTAAATTGAATACCTGCCCGCTCAGACAATATAGCCATTACTAGCTCTTTAATATTGTATAATTGCTTACCATTAGCGTACAATTTTGCTGCCATGGTTGACCACAACTTTTTTATCGGGTTCAGATTATTAAACATGCTGACCATCTGGTCACCTTCACTTGCTGCTCTTTAATATTCTGCTGTCGAATCCGATGTATGAACAGATGCATTGTCCAGATGGAAGATGTAGTCTGTTACAGGGCACTGGTCACAAGTACTGCTTCAGTAATAGTGCACCGACACTGAAAACAGTGCAGGTAGTGCCGCGCGTCACTTCACATGATCGTACGTGCATAGGGAGGCTAGCATGCAAATGACGCGTTCAATAGGAATAAACAGTAAAATGATCTAATATAAATAAGTCCTCAATACATGTACCTATGTTTAGTCCTAACTTATCACATTTTTACAAAAGTGTATGTTTAAGTCTTGTAGACCACTCATTGTGTGTGTCCATCGTTGATTGGACCGCCAGAGCTGGCTGGTGTGATGGCCCGTATCAGCCAATTGGTGAGTGCTTCGGAATATTATCCCTAACGGTAATAATTAAGAGGATTATCAACCTTTACAATAATCTGATAATAAACAAGTATCAAGCTGATTACATTTAATAGGCTCACTCCTTTTAATTTCTGCGCGACTCCGAACTGTGCATTAACTTGCTTGAGTGCGTCTCTGAGGTCCTCTCGTTACCTCTTCTAGTCTACATCGTGAAAAAAAGTGTCCAAGAAGATCCAGGTAGTTTTAAGCTACAAAGGAATGGCCATTCCCATGACATGTCAAGGAAATGCGGCAGTTCCATGGATTTGCCAATTACTGGCATAAAGATTGCAAGGAACTCTGCGGAGCGAATTAAATTTAGTGTCTGACATCCTATAAAAGTCCGCAGAGTAAACTTTATATAGACTTTGAGAAGGTGATCTTGCTTCAGTGAAGCGAACACTTGTGGAGGTTCTGATCTTGTATTTTCAGATGCAGACAAGCCCTAAATGTTTTTGCAATGCGAGTAATTTCTTTCCAGCAGCAGTGCACTGATGCAAACGATTATGACGGCGAGAACCGTGTAATCTCGTCTCAGTACCGGCGATTGAAGGCCGCGAAGAGGGTTAGACCCGTGCACGAATAGGAGCTACTATTAATAAAGTATGCTATTGTGAAGTTTCGAGTGCATCAATTGGGCACCAAAACTTTTGCGGTTAACACGGATCACGCATCACTGCGGACACGATTAACTCACCACACCTATCTCCAAGAACGACGATGTGACTCAAACATTCTCAGAACATAATTTTTGAGTTGAATTCTAGCTGGATAAGTCGAACGTCTTTGCTAAGTCGTTATCGCGCAGACCATAATTCGGAGAACCACACTTTAATGACGTTTCATGTGCTTAAGCACGGAATATGTCTTTAACACTGGAAGCTCTAAGGGTTGACTATACGAAAATTACTCTGGATCTAATGTAAATGAATCAGGTGCAGGACGAACATTGTCTTCTGCTTACAAAGTACGTTGGTAGAAGATAAGATTACTCAATCGTCGCACTTAGTGCGAAGCCCAATCGCAGTAGTTATAGCGACAGGACGTTATGACATTAAGTATCACCTTGTAAATTATTGAGAACATATAACTTTTATGACACAGGTTTCTAATAAAGCATTCCCTCCTGGCTCTATGATGCACCATCATCTGGTCATTTGAAAGGAGAGAAGAAATTCTAACGAGCGTCATATAAAGTTTTGTTGCTGTCACCTGTATCATAAGTTTCGATTTATGTTTGAATTTGCAAAGAGCTTGAGCGCGTAAGAACAAACAATATGTTAGTGCGCCACTGAATACACTTGTGATACCAACTATTGATGTATACTCGGTCCAATCGGTTTTCATTCTTGGCATACCCTTTATCTATAAAGTCAGGACTAGTCTCATTAAATCATTGACAGACTGAGCAAGTCGGTTCAATAAGCACCAAGTAGCACCCAGAGACCAGTCATGGATGCAGCTATGATGTTCCTGGATAAAGCAAGCCGACTACACGGATCACCCGAGTCCATCTGGATCAGGATCCACATTTTACGTCAGAGTTTGGCGCTGCGTGTTGAGCACAATGGTAGCAATAATGACATGCCTATTCTGGTCATTTCCTATTCGATGGTGAGGCCGAACTGGCCAGTTGTGTCATGACGGATGTATTGCGCACAATAGAAACCCCTTGTGTAGGGAGAAAACACTAACTGTACTTGTAATGGAGCAAATCCTTGCTCATAACTACAAAATTCTCACTAGCACAATGCTCAAATTTTAAAACAAAAAATTGGTACCATCACAGGTAAAACACATTTTTTATTAGCGGGATACGCCATCCTTCGAAGCGAGTTTTGTATTTGCGCAGCTCGAAGTTTAGTGGGGAATAAAATAACTACGCACGGAGAAAAGCATAACGGCTTCGCTAAATTTATGGCAGAAACTTGCTTAGTAGAATGGCAGTGCCACAGTGGTCACGACACAAGGGAGTGTCAAGTCATAGTCACGACACACGTTGTCTGTGCTTCAAAGCAATTCTAATGCGTCGTTATTAGCAGCAAGAACCCTTGGACAACCTCATGGTGTTGTTACTGGTGATATGGATACTAAATTCCTTACAGAAGCTCAGCGTTTTGACGATGAGCGATTTGCTATCACAAGTATGGTCCATATGGCTGTGGCAAGCTCACGTGGCAATGAAAACAATATTTAGACCATTTTGGTCGCGTAAATCTTGAATTTTTAAGTGTAGGAGACAAAGTACTGCTAATTAATGGTAATTTACCTAAATGGGCAGTTTCAGTTTTACCGATTGGTAGTACTAAACTATTTTTTTTTCTTGGGACTTTTGCCGTGGTTGAGGCATTCAAATACCTCAATCATAGGCTCACCCTCACACCATTCATAAATAAATACCTCATGTGTGACGTTGCTTCTATAGCTGTATGTAGATTTACAAATGAAAGCACATTAGCATGGTACGAACGTGAGCGATCACGTCGATGACCATGCGACAAACGACAGTATAGTAGAAGGAACGGCGGCGAGGGAACAATTCTAACAAATGAGTAAACCTTTATGATTTTCAAACTTGGTAAACGAAGAATACTGCACGTCGAATGCGCGTCTCTTATCAACGAACGCTCTCCCATAATTTTAAGCGGTCATGTCCTTTGTGAGCCTTCACGGAAATTGTGCAAATTAAGTCACTTGCGAAGCTTGACTCAAGAGAGCCACTATCAGCTCCTCAAAAGAAGCTTCCTGCGCTTGCGTCTGGTCAATCGACGTGTGATACACGAATATCAGTGCATAGTCAATTCTAGTGTCGGACGACACCAACACTTTTGAGCGCTACAGGATTCCAACGCTTCTTTGTTGAAAGATTGAGAGCTTGCTGGCATATAAAGCATAGCTTGGGAATATTCGCCAATGAAAACGTATCCAGAGTTTTGACTCCTGGAAGCGAATAAACGCTTTGATTGTCGAAGTGACTGGACTGGTTGCCGCTTTCGAGCAGGCACACCAGCTTCACCCGCTCCTATGAATCCCAATGTACTTGCAAGTGAAGCAAAACGTAAACATGAAGGAAAGGATTTTGGAACAACCTCAAGCCTACGCGCACTCTTTAGCGCGAAGTTCATTCTTTGCGACGGATTACTCGCCAACTTAGGTTGTGGCTTGGTACTATGCAAGAGTGAGGCTTTGTAATGGTAGGTTATTTCATTGAGAATTAACTTGGTCGGAATTAAGAACGTACAGCCCAGCCTCTTTCGTTCTTCCTTCCACGTGCGGAGAAAGCTGCATATTTGTGTGCGTCAATTGTTTCACGCACTAGGATCAGTAAAACAGACCCATCCGACACTGGCCATTTTTTGAAGAAGATACAAGTGAGATACTACAAGATGCATGGTGGCTTTTTAATGGGTGCGCTCGTCTTACAGACTGAGGGAGATCCAGCATTCTTCTAGGAGCTTTATGCTCTAGTTCATTGAAGTATATAATACTCATTGTGAGTAAATTCATGTACAGAAGAAATGTTGAATTTTTAATTAGCTGCCGATACTAATGGATATCGCTCTTTATGATGATCATCAATATAACAGTAGCTCACTAAGAGCTGAAATTTTGTTGGTAGACTGTTACGTCACCGCAACATCACTGCATCTTTTTTTCTGAAGCAGTTTATTCATCAGTGATAAGATTTAATGATTTATCTTCGTGCCACATACGCTCACTTTCTTTCTCATCCATTGGGTGGAAGTTAGGAATTAGAATCATTCAAATCTGCAAAAAGTTAAGGTTCGTCCTCCGCATTGGATGCGTGAGGTGAAGGGCGACGACCTATCGGAGATGCGAATGCTACACTGACAGTCGGCGTCGTGACACTAGCATCTTGTGTCGTCGTCACTTTCTCGCAAGTACACTCTTCGTAATTGAAGATGTGTATATTC